GTGATGGGGCCTCGCCGTCCTCATGTCTGACGGCTCTCAGGGAAGGTTCCCAGACAGACGTGTGTGCGCACGCCCCCTGGGCTTCACCGGCCCCACAATTCAACGGCATCGCCTTGCCTCCGCCCCCGAGTCGCGGCCTGGCTCTGGCTGGCACACAGCGGCGTGAAATACCATGGCTTGGGCCAGGCGGGAGCCCTGGTGCCACAGTGGGTGACGTGCTGGGCTCTCAGACCCCGGAAGCCCACGGTGGCAGTGCCACTCTGCCCCACAGGGCTGCTGAGAATCAGAATCGATTCGGTGGCAGTGGCTGTGTGTGTGTGTGTGTGTCCACAGGCTAGGCTGTTGGCTGGACACTTGTCATGGAGGGGGGGGAGGAATCACCGTCCGCAACGGAATAGAACGTCGAGAACCACCTCACCTGACTGACGTCAGGGGTCTCAGGGCGGGCAGGGGTGTAAGGTGGGAACCCTGATGGTGCAGTGGTTTGGCGCTGGGCTCATAGCTGCAAGGCCGCAGTTCAAAACCACCGGCAGCGCCCTTGGGAGACAGACAAGGTTTGCTACTCCTGGGAAGATTTACGGTTTGCGCAGTTCTACGCTGCCCCATAGGTTGGCTGAGTCGGAACCAACTTGATGGCAGTGCGTTTGGTTTGGGTCTCTGAGTGGTGCAAGGAGCCCCAGGGTGCAGCGCGTGAAACATGGGGCTGCTAACCACGGGGTTGGGGGTGCAAACCCACGGTGGCGGTGCTCCTCTGTGCTGCAGGTCCCGAGGAGCTGGAGTGGATTCCGAGGGCTGGAGGTTTGGGAACCGCGATGCTCAGCTTCATGCGGGTTAGATGGGAAAGCGCCAGGAGAGGTGTCCGGTGGAGGGAAAGAGGCTGTCTTCCTTGGCCCGACTCTCTTAGACTACTCTGAGGAGCACGCAGGGCACCACGGTGCGCTCCGGCCTCTGCGTGCATGAACACAGTGTCTCCCTGCTGCCGGGAGGGGAGCTGGGGTCAGACGCATCTTGCAGTGACGCGGAAGAAAGGCCTGGTAACCGGCCACTGACCCCCGTAATGTCACACAGCAGAGAAAACCCTCCGGAGGGCCGGTTCCACCCTGCCATCCGAGGCATCCCCGTGAGCGGGAATCAGTGCCACGCAGTGGGTCTGACCCGGATCGAATGACTTGTTCACAAATGATGCGGGGCCACTTCAGCTGGGGCCCTGTGCTGTCGCCAAGCCAGCCCACAACTCATGTGACCCCCAAGCCCAGGGGCGCGGGGTCCTGCCTGAGCCCCTGTTCACACAGGCTGGCCACCAGCAGAGTTTTCAGACGCGGAACGCCAAGCCTTGCTTCCTAGTGCCATTGCCGCTGGGTATCCTGACAATGCACTAGGTCTCCACTGACAGGTCCGGGGTGGCCACATGCGATGTGCGCCAGGTGGGAACTGAACCCTGGTCTCCCCCACAGGGCGGGGGGAGTTCCACCACTGAGCCACCGTGCCCCCACCAGGCGGTCGGTCATCTGCTTTTATCCTTAAAGATCAGCCGGCACCTCTAAGGTGGATTTTGTTTTCTCGTTTTAAGTGGCTGGAGAAAGGGTCAACGTGAGAACGGCCTCCTGTGACTGGGGAGAGGCGCCCACAGAGGCCCGGGGCCATCAACACACGCATCCTTGGAACACGCCTGCTCGGGCTGCTTTCTGCTCTGAAATCTCAAACATCCACCATCTGGTTCTTGAGAGAAAAACGCTCGCTGGCTGCTGGCTTATTTTCCACTCACCAAGCACTTTCAACATCTCAGAGCCTGTTTTACCAGCCCTTAAAATCCACCCAGCCGCCCTCCGACGGGTGGATACGGCCAACCTTTCCCAGGTAAGGTGGCCTGAGGCATCTCATCAGCGTCCAGCCTGGGATTTGAACCTGAAAAGCTGCCGGGTTCCAGGCTCTCTGCGGGTGTCCCTACCCTGCGAGGGCTCAGGCTGGGGCCAGTGGGCTGTGACCAGGGTCTACAGAGGGATGGGGAGCCCGGCCATCCTGCTCAAGCCAGCATGTCTCACCACGGCCAGACGGTGGGCAGCAATAGACGGGCGTCTCATCTGAGAGACTGAACGCCACTGGGCCAGAGAGAGCAATGGTGTCCGGGTGCACCAAAGTCAGTCACAAAAGAACAGGGCTGCGCGCTCACTGAAGTGAGATGCACGATGCCCAGAAACCCGCGATCGTCCAGGACCCCTGGGGGCGTATTGGTGATGCGCTTTGGAAAAGGAGAGAGAACGTGCAGCTAGGTAGACCAGTGCTTCCTCAAGCGAGCACTGGAGCACTCCAGGGGGCTACAGAAGCAGCTATCCCCATGGTATCCTGGATCAGGCGCGTTACAGTAAGGAGCCCGGTAGCAGTTACTTGGCCTGCAAACCTCGAGGCCAGCAGTTTGAAACTAGCAGCGGCTCCGTGAGACAAAGATGGGGCTTTCTACTCTGGAAAAGGTTCAGAGCCTCGGAAAACCACCCAGCCCGAGAGGCACCTAACCTCAGTCAGCGAGCTCCCTGATGTTGCCGTCTGCCCCTGCAGAGAAGAGGGGGTGCCCTGGTGGTGCGGCGGTGAAGCGGACCGAAGGGCCAGTGGTTTGCACCCACCCCGTGGCCCCGCAAGAAAACTCTCGCCATCTGCTCCTGCCCAGGACGGCCCTGCGGCCTT